CAAAGTTGATGAAGAAGGCCTCTATCCCACTTATCGGCTAATTATCTAAAGAATCCAAAGAGGCTCTAAAGTGCCTATGCAGGACGTTACAATACTGCAGCACAAAAGCTCCCAGGGCCAAGGACAGTAGTCCGCGTCTGTTGTCTGAGCTCTTTGTGTCCAGCAGTTGCTACCAAGCTATTCAGCCTGGTCTATCTCAGGCTGCGTCGTCCTGTGTCGTCAGCTCCTTCGCTGTTCCGCCTTTCCTGAGCGCAGCACCAAAACCAGCATGAGAGAGGTTCACGAAATCCGATTGCAATGGTGAAAGTTCCAGGGCTCATGCTGTCTGACTAGTGGCCACTGCCGCCATGATTCCACCGTGTGGAGTCTGGCAGAATCGCATTCGAGGAGAAGAAACATAAGCATCCAACGTGTATTTCTATGTATATCATATCTAGATCGAGGTGAAGTTGAAGATCAAGGCCAATATTCAAGATCAAGGCACGATAGCAATATCAATGATGTCATAAAATTCCAAAGTTATATCAAGTCGATATTGATCGCCCCGAGTTGGACTTGGAAGAAACCCTACTCGGTGGGCCGACAGGATTCGGCAGGGGAATACTGGAGCCAGTGTACGCAGATGGCCTGAAGGATGCCCTCCTTCGAAGCTCCTCCATGCTCTCTGCGCAAGTGCTTGGCATTCAAGAAACAAAAAGTCTGAGTCCGGAGCCAAGTTGTTGCAGTTCTCGCAGCTCCAAGCGCAAATCCCTCGCAAGTGCCTTCCAGAATCCATAACTCTCTCCGGAGCCCGAGCGAGACTGCAGACCACAAGCTTGCGCCTGTCGAGCTGAGTCCAGGGTCACGTCGGATCCAAAAACAACCGTCCTAAGTTTCTGAAGGCTTCCGATGCACCCGCTGATATCCCTGGCCAATTAAGCTTGATGCCCTCAGCGCACATGCTTAGGCTGCTGAATGCTTGGGCCAACTGCTCGTGTCTTTTTGTCCGACGCTGTTGGCCTTCATGGGAAGTTGCGCAACGCATCCCATACAACGGGAGAGATGACTTGCCCGATGCATCATGCAGGTCAACTCGCCCAATCGTTTAACAAAGCCCCGACTCTTCAGCATCCAAGCTGCGCTCTCATCCGCTTCAGACCACGGTAGGGAAGCGTTTCAGAAAACCGAGCTTCGGATCTGAACAGCACCGGCACCTTTTAGCATCTTGGCGGCAGAAGCTACCTCTGCCTCACCTTGTCTTTGCCCAGCACGCGAAGTCCACAGGTGTTGCGAGATCGCAGCAGCAGTTCAAGCTGTCAGACCGACATAGATTGCTTGAGGATCCAGCAGAATCTTGGCTTGGAATCAGCCCGAACAGTCGAGCGAGGAGCTTCAGGGTGCTTCAATGCTTCAATCCAGCGTATCGAGACGACAAGTACTAGCAGAGGCGTCGTGTGATGCTCCTGCTTGAGGCCCAAGCTGTTTTTTCCAGGCTGGCATCGGCAATGACGAGTGCGATGAATGTGATTCCGCAGGCTTGCTTGATTGCAGGATCTCGGCCATTTGTGCCATTTTTTGCTTTAGAGGCAGTTCAGGATCAATGCTGTAGAACGCTGCCAACTTACTAGGATCAGCTGTGAGGTTCTGAAATGCTCGAGACCCTGAAGCTGATTGAGCTTGTCGATGACTCATCATGGACTCGTAACTTTCCGCAGCATCCGCATCGAAAATCTCAGCTACATCCAAGCAGCTTTCGAACAAGGTGGTCAGGGGCACCAGCGACACTGCTGAGCAGTTTTGAAGCGCATCGATGAAGTCCCCCAACAGCAGGAGTCCTAAGACATAGTGTAGTGCTGTCCAATAAGCAATGTGAAATCTAGGAACCAGCATCTGCACATGCTGTACATGCATAGACACCATCTTCACCAATCGCTCGAAAATTTCGGATTTGACCTCCGGCGGCATTGCCGCAGACTTCCAGAGAAGAAGCGATCCGATGGGGATGGCAACAAGCAATGCTTCCTGGATCGCATAGTGGCCCGGAGCCAAGTGTGGAAGTCTTCCAGCCTGCATCCATTTGTCAATGAAGTGTTGGAACCTTCTGAATGCAGATAGCAAGTCTTGAGTAGATGCCAGTTGTCGAGCTTCTGGATTATCAAACTTCGCGCGAAGTTCGTGAAGAGCTGCCCTTTCGGGCATCCAGCTCTCTTCTGAAAACTGTCCTGCTTTAGGCTGCGCGGATCCTGTACAGAATCTTCGATGTGCATGCCATCCTTGCCGCTGGCATGAGCGTGAGCAGAAGTAGACAAGTTTACATCCACTGCACCTGTGCAGATCTTTCACGGCACTGAGACTGCGCACGTTGTCTAGCAATAACTCACCTTCGTGCTCGCGACCATGCAGCAAAGTCTTGAGAATCAAAGTCTTGCCCCCTCGGACTTCCTGCGTGATTCCCATGGCTCCAGCCAGCTCGCGGTGGCGAAGTATTTGCACTGCATCACCCGGCCGTATATTTGGTGCTGCACTGTTGCAAGCCTGACACCTGGGGCTCCATCTTTCCAGCGAAAGCTGCAAGCCTATGTCGGCCAGCATCGGCTTTTCTGCTTCCAAACGGCCTTGGCACTCAGAAATGGAACAACCGCGACGCACGTTGGACACTAAAGCCTGCAAATGTCTTCTGTATACTCTCGTCGGCTGGCCACAACAAACCAAAAGAAAACGCCGCTCACTTCGAATTGCTCTCATGCGTCATCGGCTTGCTTTCTGCGTTCATGTCAAGAGATTCAATAGTTTCTGGCATCGTGTGTCGGCTTGGTGCATCTCCGTCAATTCCGGCTTCATTTCCTTTTTGTTTATCAAGTTCTGCAGAAATGTTGTAACTCCACCATTTCCGACTTCCGTGTCTGCATCGGCTCCTTTCCTGCTTCAATTCCGCGTACAAGTATCGCGTGATTTCCGGCTTCCTGGCTTTGGTCTCAGTCTCCAGCTTCATGTTTGCTTGCGGCGAGTTGATGCATTTCCGTTTCCGGCTTCTTTTCCACTTTTTGTCCATGTTCGTACCGGTTATGCCGAGTGGTTTGATTTGGGCTGCAGTATTCCATGTAGTTCCGCCAATTCCGGCTCCATTTCTGTGTTTGTATCGGCTGTTTCCATCCTTCATGTTTGGCGCTGCAAAACTGTTGCACACAGCGCTTCATTTGCATGTTCGCATCGGTTACCGGCTGCATTCCCCTGTTTTTGGCTGCAGCCGCATGTGCTGCATTTCCGGCCTTATTTCCGGGTTCGTTGGAGTGCTCGTGACGATTATTTTCGGCTTCATGTGCAGTTGCATACTTGATGCATTTCCGACTTTCCGGTGTCAGTTCTGTCTTCTTTTCGGTGTATGTACCGGGAATTTCCGGTTTCACTTCCGCTAGCTTCGGCTTCCTTCTCAACTACAACATTAATGGACGTTTGCCTTTGTCGACTTCATTTCCGTGTTCATACCGGCTACATAATTTTCCGGCTTGTTTTTGTGATGTAGATTTGACGTGTTTCCATCTTTTTTCGAGTTCATTTCAGACTTGATTCTCGTGCTCGGATCGATGGCTGCATAACTGATGCATTGCTGCCATTTCCCGCTTCATTCCCGTGTTTTTATCAGTTGCTGCACGATGCAGTTTCGTCATTTCCTGTCTGACTCAAACATTGATGCACTTCCGTCGGTACCGATTTCAGTTCGAAATCATTTCTGCGTTCGTGCCAGTTCCTTCAGGCTGGTTACTTCGTGCACTCCCGGCTTTCCGGCGACGCGCTGACATGCCTGTCGTCGTTGGCGTCTATTGGCTTCACGTTGGGCGGCCAGCGAAATGAAGTTGGAAATTCGGTTATGTCCTGCTTCTTTTCCGCTTTCATGTATGTGTTCGCGTCGACTGTCTTCGGATTTGTCCTGTTTGCATTATCGGAGCGTTTTGTTCGCTGCTGCACAACTGTCGCATGTCCGGCTTCATGTCCGCTTTGGTCTCAGTCATTGCCGGCTCTTCATTTCTCCCCGCAGAATCGAATGAACTGATTATGCTATTTCCTGCTCCACTTCAGCTTTTCTTCCGTGCTCCTGACGATTAGATCCTGGGAATCCTGCTCCATTTCCAGCTAAACATTCATTTCTGTTTGGGCTTTAATAATTTTCAGCTTCGTGTTCCCTACTGTTCTGCCGAACCAAGACACAGCGAGAGCAGCCACATCGGCCGCCGCAATGCGAACGAATGCGTTCTTCTCTGGCCCGCGGTTCCGCAAAAAGTTCGTGATAGGAGACTCGCAGAGGCTCCCCTGCCTCACCATGTCCATGTGTTCCTAGAAGACCTCCTTATCAACTCTGGTCTTGCCTGGATATCCCGTATGGCAATGAGCTTCACCTCGAGGTCGTCATTGATCGGGCGGTCTCCAGTGCTCAGGATGGAAAAGCCTTGGCTGAACTGCTGACGATCTTTCCATTCTATGCCGATGATCGTGTGCTTGTCATTGACTGGAAGTAGCAAACATTCTCCTCCATGCTGGCCGCGCAGGCGTGGTTCAGCATCGAGAAAGCATTGAAGCCTCGGTTGCAGGGGTTTGGGCCTCGCGCAGGGCAGCAAGTCCGGCACCGGAAATTATATGAAACGATGTGGCTGAACTTTGGCCGGACAAGCTGGAACCCGATCCGAACACGAACTTGGAGTCCCGACCCGTCGTAAACGGAAGTCAGAGAGGCCGGTTCCCTAGAGGGCCAGATAGGGCTTGGGCTGGGTTTCGAGGGCAAAGCTGCAATCGGCAGACGCCGAGGCCAAAGATCGGGACTGAGTACACGTACGCGGGTACTGCCAACGAACGTCGACACCCCTAAGGCAAGGCCCTGTTTCGAGCTATGTCATTTCTCAAGTTTCATAGAAGAACCAGCACGGCCGCATGAATTTCCCTTCCTTCCGCCTGGTTGTGCTGCGTCTACAGCCGTCCAAGTCGTTTGCTGTAATTTGCGACTGCCCCAACTCGCTGGACTAGCTGGACGCAAATTGGTTGCAGACGCGTGCTGTGAAACAAATCCGGAACATGCTGGTGCCTTCATCGGGCAAGAGACTCTGGGAGGAGGCGACTCTTCAGGCCGCTCGCATACCCGCCGCCCCCCACCCCACACCCATCCAATTTCAATCGATCTGAGATGATCTGAGCATCGTTTGCTCGGAGTCCAGCGCTACGGCGCATAGGACCGGTTGTACCTGATTCCATTCCCACCCTCTCGTATGTGCCCTGTGGAAATCAAGGGACAAGCTGCGGCGACATTCTTGGAACTTAACATGCATGGACATAATGAGCTCCAAGCGGGTGAGGCTAGGAGTATGTGACGAATAGAAGCCTCTGACAGTATTTGGTATTCCTGGATTTCCAAACATATCTGGGAGCCTGGCCAACGACTTTGCCTCGCAGGCCGGCAGACAGGAGCAAGGCATCGCACATCCTATGCATATGCAGCACTTGCGTTCACTTGCTCCTGAAGCATTTCTTGCTCCCTGAATCTGTTCCTCGTGTCCCTAGCTCGTCCAAGTTCGGTGCTACAAGCAGAAAACCTAGGCCCTTGTGTAGTAGGCTTGGCAGAAACCAAGCCCGACGTAGCAGGCAGAACGCCTCAAACGCTGAGCAAGTGCATGAACGTACCGGACATTACGCTTGCTGTGAGCGCCTTGGAACAAAAAACTGTTCGTCTCAGCTTCCAGAATGAACGACTGGTCCGCAAGTTCGAGATTGACCTGGTGCGGCGTGCAGTGGATCGTCCGTGCCGGAAGCATATGCAACATGATGGCACAGCATGAACAGACGGGATCCCGGGTTCATCGAACCGAACCGAACATGCTTTAAAACTTGTAGTCTTTAAGGTTGTGGCTTTTGCAATGAGGCCGGGCGTCTTTCTCAGAAAAAGGCTCTGTACTAATCCTATCGCCCTAGTATTAAACGGGGCCCCCCCAATAGATACTCGGAGAGTATGTTTACTATTAGGGGGTATTTTATCTCTATTGTCAGATTTGGGCACACTAGTGAACCCTAAACCCTAAACCCTAAACCGCACAGGTCAGACCTCGTGAAGCCATGCCTGCCTTGTGCGAGTGTGTGAGGCTCCTATACCCTAAACCCTAAACCTTTAACAGCCACTCTCACCTGAGAACAAACAGACAGCTGGGAAGTTTGAAGGACTCGAATGCGCGCCGGAGTACGAATTGCTCAATGTTTGCTCAATGTTTGCCGAATCACTCTAATTTCCAACTATTGGTTGTGTAACTCTCACCAGAGCTGCCCGTGCCTCTGCTGCTGCCAGATTGTCAGCACCTGTGAGGAGCGCACTTTGCTCGTATGCGGCGTACGCAACCCAAATGTTCGTCTACTTCAGACTTCTGAAGCTAGGGTGAGAAAGTTCAGCTTGGCTCACGTCCAAAACGGCAAAGTCTGTGCACCTCATAGACACGCTCTGTGAGAACACGAGTCAATTGAAACAATGCCCCCCAGAGCACACGCAACTGGCTAAACAACTGGCTAAACATATGACACGAGCGCACGATGCCGCGCACAGACAACAGTCCCGCTATCTTGATATTCAACCATGGTCATACATCGTTTTGAGCCAATCCACCTGTCATTTTCGAAGGCGAAAGGTCGAAACTTGACCACCTGTCCGCAGCCTGCCCCAATTGCACGAGGTATGTACAGTATGCAGGATAAGAGGAACAGTCAGGAAGTGAACTGAAGTATGACCTGAAGCGAAAGTTAATGCCGGGCCCTGTAACTGTATGGGCGTAGAAAAGAAAAACAATCTCGAAAGCATGTTGAATGTACACAGGACAATGCAAGATAATGCGCGGGCTTTTGTTAGTTTGGAGCTAGGAAAAATCCCACCACGTACAACCGCGTCCAAACAGATTCTTGAAGATGGCCAATGGAGAACAACTTAGAAGCCGCATCGTGGAGATTTCAACCCTAAGTGCTCCGCGTAGGTGTTGGCAGTATGGCTGCAAACTGATGAAATGGCAATCCTCGGGCCGATGGTCGGTGGCGGGTTCTGCAGTGGCCAGTATGTTTTTGAGGAGTGCTCTGTACATCAGGGAATCGGTTGGACAATTGATTTCAAGCCGCTGTTGAATGCCTCCGACGAGACGGTTGAGTTGTTGAAAGAGACGGTCGCCCTCGTTCCGGTAAGCTAACCGTAATTTTGGAAATGTGCTTGATTACAGATCTGTCCTTCAATGTGTTCAATGATAATGTCGTCAGGATGTCGTTGTTGTGGCAAAGAACATCCACCCTGGAAAATGCGGAGCTTTGCATGTCGAAGCCTGCTAGTACTTTATGCGGTCAATCGTTAATCCAGCTTCCAGCGGTTGCTAAGCATTGCAGCATGCATTGGGGAGGGCAGGCTGAGCTACCGACGGAGGCCCCTGCTGCCTTGAGCCAACAAGCCTGGAACCCATCCATACTGAATTTAAATACTTATACGAATTTCCGACAACAAACTACCCTGATCTGATGCTACTGCGAGTATTGGCTATAAGCCGTCAGTGATGTGATCTATAGTGAAGTGCCTGGCCTCGAAGCAGCGCAAAGTCGTGAGGGTGCTGTCTCATGGCAGCAGACAGTTCAGCCACACTTCGCCGGACAATGGGCTTCTCCACCAGCAGAACCTCATCAGGTACAGTACCCTCCACACAAACATGACATGCTTCCCCCTCCAAGCTCATGGTCCCAGCACTTGCTCTGCACAATACCCATCAACACCCTCTCCCAACAAACGAGCTGCGTGGGGAGCCGGACAACAAAGCTATTCCTCTAGTTTTATGGTTTACTCCTTCGTTTCTTGCGACATGATGTAGCATGGGCTAGATGCTCATAGGCTCACACTACGAGCAAATACACAATCCTGATAGTCATTCCTTACAAGATCGGGACCACATAGCGTGAAATCTTGATTGCTGGCCAGTCGCGGATCCCGCTTTGAAGCATCTCTGTGCTGCCAGGCATCGCCCCTGGATTGATTCTGCATCTATGCAATACGGCAACGACAGTGGTGTTTTTCATTCCAAGGATCTTCATGCTCGGATAAATGCTCCAAGCGAAGGCCAGCAGACTCAATCTCTGGCAGGCCAGCAGGCATTCTCTACGCAACAGGTATGTCCGCAATATTCATTGGGCATCTGCACAGCTCTGGCTTGAAGACAGAGGATCTGCAGACGAGTTCAGTGTAAAGTGGGGGCAGGCAACACGGGATCCGCATGGGGGACTGAGAATCGAAAACGACAACATGCGCAAGCTATGAGATGCAAGCTTTAGGTTCCACTTCTTCTTGATCTTCATGAGGTCCTGGCTGAAAGCATGCGATAAGCGACGCTCCGCCACTATGCAACAAGCATCACGGCCTGCTTTCTGGCAGATCGAGCGAGCTCAGACTCAAGCGCATTCAAGTCCTGTCAAAGACCATGTCCACAGTTCGCCCTCTGGTCTTGAATTGGTTGTTGGACTGCGACGGGCAGGCCTTCTCCATACCCTGTGACTTGGAGAGAACAACGCTGTGCAAGCTCAGCTTGTCGATCGACTCCCTGGCCTCCCGCATGGTGTGTGTGTGTGTGTTTGTGTG